CAACGAAATTATATATTGCTTTTGACTTATTTTTATTTCGTTTTTCTCTCTATTGCGCTCAATTTTTATGCCTAGTGCATGAGTAATCGGACCTAGATCTTTAATATTAAAATTACTTTTCAAAGATGCTTTTAGTAGTTTTACCGCATTAACATCATTGTAGAATATGAAGAAATCATCTACATAGAGTGCTATAATAACTATAGAATCATTGTTTCCTTTCTTTACAAATACGCATGATTCATGTTTGCATTGTTTATAGCCTAGTTTAATAAGTATATCTCTAGCTTTACTATTCCAAACACGGGAAGATTGTTTTAATCCATAAATTGCTTTCTTTAAAAGATAAACTTTATTTTCTTCTCCAGGTTTAATAAAATTTTTAGGTTGAGTCATGTAAATTTTTTCTTTTAGATTACCGTGTAAAAAAGCTGACTGAACATCTAAATGATCTGCTTCTAAATCTAATTGAGCAGTGAGAGCAATTAATATTCTAACGGAACTATGTTTAACTACGGGGAAAAAAGTTTCTGTAAAATCAATCCCGTATTTTTGGGTAAATCCTTTGGCCACTAATCTAGCTCTATACCGTATAACATCACCATCGGCATTGTGCTTTACTTTAAAAACCCATTTGTTTTTTATGATATTTACACCGGTAGGTTTGTGTATAAGCCATACATTATTTTCTTGAAATGAATTAATCTCGGCTTGCATTGCCTTTTTCCATTCTAAATTGTCATCACTTGAGAGAGCTTTATTTACGGTTAGTGGCTCAAGGGTTTTACAAGTAGTGTAATACATTACGTGATCTAGATAGTTTTTGGGTCTGCGTTCTCGCAGAGGATATCTGCGTTGATGCTGCTCATCCTCAGCTTCATCTTTTTCCAGAGATTGATATACATCCTCCTCTGAAGATTGATGTGCATCTTCTTCCTCGTTCTGATTTTGAAGGTATTGGACGTCACTCCCTGCATCTGACTCCGCATCTTTTTCTTCTTCTTTTGAGAAAAATAAAATTTGTTGCGATTGATCTTCAAATTGATCATTTCTTGATAAATTTCCTCCTGCTTTATTCTTGAGAAATACAACATCTCTTGATTTAGTTATATTGTGAGTCACGGGGTCAAATAGTCTGTATGCTTTACTGTCCTCACAATATCCCACAAAGATGTACTTTTTGCTCTTGGGATCCAGCTTTAATCTTTTCTCATCCGGTATGTGAGCGTAGGCTTCGCATCCAAATACTCTTAGATGCTTTAAATTGATACATTTATTTTTCCAGACTTGTTGTGGTACTGTCCCAGAAAGTTTTCTCGTAGGAGAACGATTTATCAGGTAAATCGCTGTATTCGCTACTTCTGCCCACATCCTTGGATCACTGCGTGAATCTTGCAGCATGGATCTGACCTTGTCCATTATGGTTCGATTGTATCGTTCTGCAAGGCCGTTCTGAGGGCTGTATGGTACTGTAAATTGATGTTTAATACCCTTTTCTTTAAGAAAATTTGTTAGTGTATTATTGCAATATTCAGTCCCATTGTCAGACTGAATTACTTTGACTTTGGTATCACATACATTTTCTACCATCGCTATAAATTCCTGAACGATCGTTTTAACTTGGCTCTTATTTTTAAGGAAATATACAAATATTTTTCTTGAATGGTCATCAATAAATGTTAACATATATCGCTTACCACTCCACGATTCCGTAGGCATAGAACCACATAAGTAGGTGTGAATTAGATCCAATTTGTTTGCTGCCAACTGCTTATTTTCGTTTTCTGAAAATGGTTTCCTTGAATGTTTGCCTTTAAGACATTGTATACATGGGGATCGATTAAATGTAAATTTGCTAGTGAACTTTATCCCTGTATCAACATTTTTCTTAAGCTGGTTTAAACTTCCATAGTTTAGATGACCTAGTCTTCTATGCCAAAGCTGTTCTGATGCTATACTGATATTTGCAGTTTCAGTTTTATTGAATGCATTAATATTTGTGGTATCATTAGCAACGTCAAGTCTATATATTCCTCCGATTTCAGAACCTATTATTTGTATTTTACCTTGAACTAAATAGTCGTCATCATCGTAGATTTTACATCCGCCAGAGTCAAAAGTAATTATATAACCCTTTTTTACTGTCTCGCTTACTGACAATAAATTGACAGATAAGTTAGGAACATGCATTACATTGTGAATAGTTTTATCACAATTGCCAGATTGACTTTTTATTTTTATAGCTATATCATCAATGCCTTTGCTGTATAATTTTTCATTATTTGCAACTGTTACCTCCATATTTGCATCAATCTGCTCAGAATAATTTGACATTTGTTTTTTAATTGAACTCATATTCTTTGAGCAACAAGAGTCAATGTACCAGCTAGTCGGGTCACTTCTGCTATAATGAGCGCTGAGAGCTGAAAATAGTCCCTTTTCGCTAGTTTTCTTCTCCAATAATTCTTTGGAATCTTTTTTGGAATTAGCCTCTTGAATGCGTTTCGGTTTTAAACAGTCTCTTGTGTGATGTCCGACGATGCGACAGTTGAAACACCATGGCTTCTTTGGTTTGGATTTATCCTTAGCCGTTTTCTTTTTCGAATTGGAATACAAAGCAACTTGTTTTGCTTCTTGTTTCCATTTGGTGTCTTGCAACAATTTTGTCTTAACTAAATCACTCGTAATTGCTGCAGCCGAATGCTCGAGAGCCATACACATAGGTTGACACTCTTCAGTAAGTCCTTGCAGCAATACTGCACCGAGGAATTCATCGTCCACAGGCTTGTCCATTGCACGAAGTTTCTCCGAAATAGACATAACCTCATTGAGGTATGCCTCCATAGTAGAGAAACCTTGCAATCTTACTGAGCATAAACTGCGAAGCAATCCTAGTCGTCGATTAAGACCTTTGTCTTCGAAGGCCTTTTTGAGGGTGTCCCATGCATCTTTTGCCGTTTCACATGTCATGAGATACGAGAAACAACATTGTTCCACCATAAGATTTATTTTAGATAGGGCTTTTTCATCTCGTCGAGCCTTCTCTTGTGCAGATGTATTATCACCTTCTTAGTAGCCAATAATGGCGCATCATAAATTATCGTGTCGCAAGTAATTTTTCATCTAAAATTTTTAATTTATGTAATTGTCTCGTCCTTTAAGTTTTTGAAAACTTACTGTAACATTGGATGCAGATTCCGTCATATTGCCGTTCAAAATCGTACTTCTTTAGCAGAATAATTTGTAAATAAAAAGGTTTTCATCCAGTGCAATTATGCGTCACTCTTGTCGGTCACTGTAACGTCCCGCTAATTTTCATATATATATATTAACCAATTAATTACAAAAATTTTTCGAAAAAATCTTAAAGGAAGATTTAAGCACGTAAAATTCTTGTAAAGTAATATGATCACTGTTAAACTCATCATTTATTCTTTCTATGACTTATTATATTAAATTCATTAGGGCATATTCAGTTAAATATTTAAAAATAATACTCGTTCAGAGGAGGTACGCTCTCGAAAGGAAAACGCTTATTTGCAATAGGCATAAAACCTTAAAACTTATCAAAGAAAATTAAAGGAGATTTATATAAAGAACAATCGGTAACAATGTATCAAACAGTCGATAAATCAATAAGAAGAAGACATTGATATAAAGTATATCGATAAAAGGTAATACTTGACTAATGACAACAGTTAAATTGCTTAGGAATTTACTTGGTAGCAGTAGTCAAGTTACAAGTGAATATTCACCAGTGGCGAGAAACACTGGCAGATATTTGCTATAAAAAGGTAGCTGTGGATATCAATCGGTGGCGAGAAACGCTGAAAGATATTTACAAGCCAGTGGCGAGAAACGCTGGCAAGTTACCTATTGACGGGTGTGTGGCAGGCATTCGAAATCTATCAATGAGTAACAGGCATTGATAAGACCGGATATCAATCGGTGGCGAGAAACACTGAAAAGTATTTGGTTCCAAAAGTTGAGTATCAATCAGTGGCGAGAAACGCCGACAGGTACTTACATATTGGGCCCGAGGCCTCTATAGTTAAATTGAGAAGTAGCTAAGGACGGAAATAATAAAAGTAAAAATGAGAAGTAGCTAAGAACGGAAATAATAAAAGTAAAAATGAGAAGTAGCTAAAGACGGAAATAATAATTAAAAAGAGAAAGTAAAGCTAAGGAAGATAAAGTGGAGATGACACATGAACCCACTCCACTTGAATGCCACTAAGGCAGGAAATATAATATAAAAATCGTCAGGAGATATCAAGAACTGACGCATCAACACATTCCATTCGTACGCTGCCAGAAGAAACATACGATATCCGAGACAGCGATATGAGGAGGAAGATGATTAAGAGGCGACGCATAGGCGACAGCCTCACTCCACTCACCTACCGCCAAAGGCGAATCATAAGTAAAACATCAGAAAAGATACGAAGAGGAAAGTTATTAGAAGATGACGTAGGAGGCGACATGATGGCGACACGATGGCAACTCATCGTCCCACTCCACTCACTTATCGTCAAGGATAGGATTGTATTACAAGAGATAAAGATAAGACGAGGAAAGTTATTAGGAGATAAACTTATCAGCGAGATAAGGATAAGACGAGGAAAGTTATTAGAAGATAAATTTATCAGAGCTGATAAAGATAATAGTAAGAGGATAAGATATGACAGGGAAAGTACCGAGGAAGATTAGAACATGCAGTCATCGGAGGCGGTGCAAGTGCCCCTATCAGTGACCCGCGAGATAACAATTGCCTATGTAACTAATATCGAGATAAGACGATGGAGCCCCTTCCAACGTTCTCCATCCGCTCATTGGAGAATCTCAACGAGGACGTAGGCGGAGATACTCCCATCACTAAACCTATAATCCAATCATTATGAACCAAGCGTAACCTAACCTAACCCCTCCACTGAACGAGTGGGCAAAAGCCCATATATACGCGTGCTCCGACGCATTGCGTGCAGTGCTAGGTAGATTTTCAGACAAAAAACTAGTAACTCGTGAATTTGTAGCAGTATTAAGGCAGTATTAAGTTACAGTCAGTTAATAGTTGGCAGTCAGTACGTGACAGAATTTCAAAAGTCAGTGCTCGTGAATTAGTTGTGAACTATGTGTTCAAATATATAGTACGGAAGGGTACTAAAAAATCAATTTTGAGGAAGGAAAAGAGAACGTAAGTCATACAAAGAATCAATTAATTAAAGAAGTAAAGTTTAAACAAAATACATTGAAACGAAACAGATTTAAGGCATAACCAAAGGAAATTGAAAAAGATTTAAGAATACGATTGAAGGAAACAGTAAATCATATTACTATTTTTGCATTTTGTTAATATTATTAATAATTATATTATTAACATTATTATAATTGCATTGATATTTTATATTATACGATATATATACTCATATGTACTCATTCTTTATTTACATATAAACCATTATTCAATAAATATTTTATAATTATTCATGAGCATAGATGTATAAAATCTATGTTGTGTTTGCTACACTTATTTGTATTAATATATATATTATAATTGTTTCAATAAAATTATTATTTGTTTAAATAATAAGAATAAGAATATTACTTTTAATAATTTTATGATCTTTGTGATTGAAGATCGACATCGAGTCAGTGCGCGATTATTTTATTAAAAATTCTTTTGCTATCGTGAATAGAGATTACAGTTACCGGTCAATTTGTCAATTTCTCTATCCATCCTACTATAGTACAGTCCGTGTCAAAAGTTTTCGTGACCATAGAGTACAGTCAGTGTCAAAATTTTCCAATCATCCAATACTTGCCTGACATTTCACGAATTCCTTTTACTTTCCGTTGGAAGTAAGCACGTGTTTAGAGAACCTGTTGTGCGGTCAGCCGCACACAGCCTATCAAGACACAGATCTGTGGTATCTAGTGCGGTCAGCCGCACATTTATTAACGGATCATATCGACCAACATCATCCTTTGATAATCCACTCCCATGCCTAAATCCAAGACACGACGAAGTGGAATTAAATACCGCGCGCGTAAAGCATTAAGAGAGTACCGTATTGCTCTTGCTAATATATGTTGTATTGAGAATCTCGGGGTTGATCGTTTGTACAATTTTGAATACGAATCGTTGTTTAAATCAAGCCCTTATTCTATCAAGTCTATACAACGAGACCAGAACAAATAACGTGAAGGACCGTCCGCGTTAAAGGTCTTACTTAATTAAAAAATACTTTTAGTTTATTTTTACTCAACATTCATATACTCACATATACATACATATATGTAACTTACATAATATTCTTACAATCAGATACTGTCATAAGACACAGAGACAAGAAATTATAATTCTTTACTACTGAATTTATTTAACTGTAATTATAATTCTCTTAGAGAATTTCTTCGAGGAAGGAATTTTATCGCCACTCAAGGCAAATATAATACTAAGCCTTATTTAAAGGAAAATAAACAATCAACATTAAGGTAAGACAAAGATATTATTCTATATAATTAAGGCACTAGATATGTAGGTATTCTTATCCGCCATTTTGGTTCCTACTAGATGGAGAATTATAGCGTATATAGTATAGCTTAGTATAATATGGCGTACGCCATACTGCTATACTAAGCTATACTAAGCTATACTATATACGCTATAATTCTCCATCTAGTAGGAACCAAAATGGCGGATAAAAATACCTACATATCTAGTGCCTTAGTAGGACATTTGTTCCTCGCTATTGAAGGAAAATTTCTGGAAATTTTCAGATCGATTCATTGTAACACACAGAGAATTCTTCTTTTTCAGAGAAATTTTGAAGAAGTGAGTTTTTTCGCGTAGCATTTATTTTCGGATTTTCTAAACTTTTTTAACTACTAAACGCTCTTCTGAGGAATTTAATAATTTCTTTCTATTACGGCCTGTTTATTTTTATTCGTCTTTCTTCTTTGTATCGTTTAATAACGTATCGCACCGTCGAATAACTTTTGCAAACAAT